GATGGTAGGGGTGGACGGGTCATCCCCAGGCCGCACGGGCAGCGTCCCCACGTGAGGAAGCAGCTCTGCGCTGTAGGCCAAGGCCGCCCGCCGTCTCTCCCAGGAACCTTCTGGGTCTACTCAGCCGGCGGGTCCCCGTCCCTGGCGCTCCTCCCCGCTGTCCACCCTTCGAGGCCCTGGCGCCACTGACCTGAGGGGAGGAAGGACGGGGGCAGCTCAGGGGCCCGGGGACGTGGGGCTGCGTGAGGCTGGGACGGGGCGGCTGCTGTTGGCTCCTCCCCACACCGGGCGGCCACCCGCCATTGCCTTCCTCCCTCACTCAGGTGCTTCCTCTCCCACCTGACTTGACTTGAATTGAATCCCGCTTTTCCCCAGGCATTACTTTTAAAAATCAGGGAGCTGAAGGTTTTGATGTTTTTTTTCTCTTTCTCTCAAGTATTGATGTAAGGGGATGTGTGTGGGGCCTGAGGAAGCTGCCCCAGGGCAGCAGTACCCCCCCAGATCCAGCCCAGCCCCGCAGCAGGGGGATGGGGCCTGGCCCCTTCCGGGTGACATAAGCATCAGGGTCCCAGCTGCCACCTGGCTGGTGCTGAGGGACCTTCACCCCATCTCTGTGACAGTGGGTCCAGGGCCCATCCCGCAGGAGGCTAACCTAGGGGCCTGTCAGGCCTGGTGTTGAACAGAGCTTCTGGGGGGCAAGGGGAAAACAGGACCCTTCTGAGCCCATCAAAGAACGCTGACCCAGGGGAACTGGAGATGACAACCCCGGATCCAGCAGTGTCAGCACCTTCACCCCGACACTGCACCTGCAGTCAGCACCACCCTCTCCGGGAAGGGAGCGCGGTGTTGTGCAAGATGCAGCTGCCATTTCCTGCTCCACAAACGCCAGGCTGTGTCCTCACCCGGCCCTAACCACATGGCCCTAACCACATGGCCCGAGGCAAAGGCATCTAGAGCCCCAAATCCTTCCACCAGGAGACCCCTTCTTCACCAACACTCTCCATCACACCCTCCTCACACCTCCGCACATCCTCCTCAACCTTCTACGCTCTCCTCCACCTCCTCACCTCAACTTCCTCACACCTCCTCATTCTTCACACCTCCTCATACCCTCCTCACACCCCCACACCCTCCTCTACCTCCTCACATCTTCAATCTCCTCACACCCCCTCACACCCTCCTCACA